ACATCCTTCTCTTGCATGCAGGTGTTTCCATCTTCAATTGAAACCTCGCAGGGCATGGTCTCCTTGCTCTTTCCCCATAGAAAACTATACAGGCCTCCCACCATTAGAAGTCCACCTAAAATACTGAAATCCAGGAGTTGACATGACATTAGATTAGCTAAATTAGACAGTCAATTTGGGAGAGAGAAGAATTCGATCATCCACCTTCCTAGAGTAATCATCTCCCCTAAGAAAATAGTCGAGCATATCATGGTGAAAACAAGAGACAGTGGTGTGAATATTGCCACAAAAACAGGGCCCTTCTTCTCAACGCACCAGCTCTGCAAGTAGAAAGAAACTCCCGTAACGATGAACCCCTGTCAAGCACGACAACAGAGTAGAAGACGGTGGTGAGAACTGCAAATAAGCTTCTTCATCATCATGTGAAGAGATGACTGTGGCGAGAATTGCTATTACAGAGTAGAGAATGGCAAGTAGGCCCATGTCCCAGTGCAGCTTCCACTTGGAGCTCTCTCGCTCGAACGCCATGGCCACAAAAAGCGACTGAACCGTGCTGAGGAGGCACTGAAGCGTGGTTAACAGAAGCTTGGAGGGGTATTCCTTCAGCAAAATCCCCTGTCAAGAAAGAGGTGGTTGGCACTGCGCACTCCCAATCTTCTACAGCGAGCAGTTCTCGGGTATCGGTCAGTACCTGGTAGACCAGCCACGAGGACCAGGTGAGGTTGGCACCGATGACGAAGAAGGTTCCTTCGATCCAGGTGGCCTTCGGTGTGTTGGCCGGCGCATGGTCTCTTCGGCCCGCGCTGTGGGCGAAGTGGCCATGGAGGTTCAAAGGGTGGATGCGAGGGCCTCTATAGAAGGCAATCGCTGCAACACCAGCCAAACAAAGTGTTACTCCCACTGCTTTACCTACTCCTGAGAGGCTCTTTACTTTGATGCTCTCCATCCTGTAGCATATATATATGTCTATATATTAAGCTTCATCATTGAAATAGAAACATATAATTCAGGAGAATACACGAGCCACAAACCGGAGGAGTAAGGCCAGAAAGAAGGTAAACACTGGCACTGAGTTCGTAGCTGCCGATGTCACTGATGCTGTAGTATATTTCAAGCCAACGTTGTACATGTTTAAGCTGCAAGTAATCCTAAAATGATCGCAAACCGAGTTAGACCAACAAAAAGGCAACACAAACTCCTCTCCGAGAGATCAGAAATCAGCGGAAACCAACGTCAGTAACATACACACCCGATCAGCGCGTGCAAGAACATCTTCACAGCCGTCACGAGCTTCAATGGCGGAGACCTTTTCCTGAAATCAACATCCAGTTCACAAACAACAGAAGACTATGCTGTGTGTATTTGGGAACCGATGCGTATACCTCTCGAAGATAACAGCGAGTGGTACTAATAACAGACAAGCAGCTGCTTGTCGATAGAAGATGAAGACGAACGTGCTCACACCCTCGTCGAAGGCGGCCTTTGACATCACGTAGAAGCCAGTGTACGTCAGCTGTATGAGGACTGCAGCAAGATAGGGTTTCTGCGCATCCATGGAGGCGAAGGATGTGGAAGAGAGGGGAGGAAGAGATGATGGGGATGAGATGAGCCTTCTCCCTCCTTAAATAGAGTGATGGAAGATTGACACACCTAACTGCATCATAAGGAGATGCCATCGTAGGATTTGGACAACCCTTTTGGGGAGCTAATGACATGCTTGCAGAAAACATAGCTTAAAGCCTTCACAAATCATATATATTAGTTCCGTTTAGGATGAAGAAATCATATTAGGGAGAAGGAATCGTGGTGACTATCTTAATCATATTAGGAATGAGAAATCATGATTCTCTCTCAAGTCATATATATTAGTCCTTCATGAGTTTTTGTACTTATTCCTAATTTGTATTATCACCAAAATCTCATAATTTTCTATTTTGTAATATTTGTTTACTTATATATTTCATATATAATGTCAATGAACACTATTGCTTCATCATTTGTTTTATGATATTAGAGGACATTTCATTGTTGCCCAAAGCTTCCTTTCTTCCTGCTTTAGAATATGATGCTTCTATCAATCAATCCTCATCGTTTGTCATTATCTATTCTTTTAATTTTATAATAAAATATTAGTCATTAATGTCATATCATGGTCTAACTTTTCTGATAAACTATATACTCCATTGCTTTATGAGTTATGTAGACAACCTGACACTTATCTTTCATAAATAATTAAAGAGGATAAAATTGAGGTTGTTAATCCTAAATATATTTTTTGGATTTCCAAAGATCATCATTATCTCTCTTTCCTATCAAACTATTTTTTATATGACATCCACAAAATATTTTTATGAAATTTAGTCAAAGCTTAAAACAATGTATGTCAACTCATCTCATAGTCCTCTCATGATACTCCATAACCATTAAGATATAGTAGATACAATTGCTATGATTGATGCATCTCTTAGTGATAAAAAATATTATTTTCTATTATTAATTTGTACTCATGATAACTTTGTGATTATGAAGTTAATCTTAAGCGAGACTCATTACAGTCTAATATTGCTTCATTCACTATCAATTTTGTTAATAAACATGGTTTTGATGACAAACGAAATAATCTAAAAGGATAATTTGTCACTCTTTTTTCTTGTGAATTCTCGATTTCATTTTAAGAATTCAGAGAACAATGGATGAGCAAAACCATAGGATCTTAGTAAGGAATGTCTACCTAATCAATATTGTGGTACCTTCTTATTTCCATATTTATCATGTCAAATGCACTTTTGCACTCATCTTGCTGTCAGTGAGGAATTCCTTGTGGCTTCGAACACTGTCTTGGCCCACACAGGCACTGACGTTACCAGTTGATCGCCATGTACGTACTCGAAACCCTAACGAAGACCAAGGAACACCATCTTGGTGGAAGAAGAAAGAAAGCAAATTACCAAGCGAGGAGCATCGACATCAAGTATCTTCGTGGGACATGACATCAGCTGACTCTGCCACTAATTTGGGCAGTGCAGCTCCAAACCCTTCTCTTTCATAGCTCTAATCACAGTGACATTGACCTCAAACATGTGAGTTTGAATCTTCTTCCGGTTGGAATTTAAAGAACACCAGACACCTTAAAATGCTCATCGCAATCGAAGATTCTGCATTTGATCCATCATTATCTTGTCCATCAGCTTCATTAGATGACATTATCGTGAGTAAAGCATCAATGGAAGTATTAATTGCCCTATGATACAGTGAGGTAGGAAGTCCATCATGTTCACTACTGAATAAAGTGAGATAGGGAAATCTAAGTCTTTTTCTCTCAACAAAGTGCAAGAGAGTGTGTGCAAAATGTGGCGTTTTGGAGGCCATTGCTTTGGGTTGCTAAAGCATCCCAGTGAGAACCCCAAGGAACTTTCAACCCTTTGTATCTTCCATCGATGGAGTACTTGAAAGTGTGGCGGAAAGATATGTGCCGTCCAGATATATAATTGTTCCTTGGATAAGAATGTGGAATCTGCTGCAGCAAGACCATCGGCTTGCAAGGATTTGATGGTTGTCACTGAGATAGGTTACTTTCATTTGCATCATCAGACAATTATGCAACCACAGTGAATGGTGTGTTATCAAGGAACAGTCAAATCTTGTTGTTATTGAAACCTAAAGACCCACTTTCCTGTATGTGGTTGTGGGTTCATTGTCCAACAATTGGTGGATTGGACGTC